TATTTTCTGTGGACAGGGTTGGAGTTTGTCAGGTGAGGTTTGAGGTGATACCGGTTCTGGTTCTCGACAGTTCCCACTGTGGCTTTGTTTAACATCTGGACGGGTCCAACCCTCCTCGACTTAGACGTTATCCATTCGTCGAACCACCACTTCTTTAGTTGGCACCCTTTTAATGATCTTTTACCTTCTGATGTTCTGGTGACTATTAGAGGGAGCTAGACCCCGAGGTGCGTTCTAGAGTGGGGCACCCAAGTTTTAGCTAGTGTTCTTGCACACTGCGTTTATAGGGTCTTTGGGTGTGGCCCCCTGGATCATGTTACTGACGTCTCTCGACCCCTGGTTTCGATTGTTTCCCGATGGTAGTCATTGTGTGATGCGGCGGTCCTGAGTTTAGGACGTCACGGTCTGCACAGGGGAACGAATTCGGTCATATACAGGTCCCTTGTAGACTTCAAACGATCTCCTCGTATATATCTACCTAGGTCTTCTCAATCCTCTTACATATACCAGTCCTACTTTGGTTTTATCTTAAAAACAATATTTTGAGTTGATCTGCACAAACCTCCTCTTTCTTACCGACTCAACGTAGGTTTCCTTGTGGTATAGATGACACTTTGTACCCCCACTCTTTGTAGTACCGAAACCGCCGACAAAAACGTTTCCCTGGTCTCGTGGGCTGAGTTCAAACAGGTGCCATTAATACAGTTAACAAGTGGAGGACAGAGGAGGCTCTTAAAGAAGAAGTTACAGGTCTGTGAGAGCCAGAAATCTTGTTTGTTTGTAGGTGAACAAATACTTATTTTCCACCATCATTTGCAAATAAATTCTTTAAAAATCAGACAATGTGATTTTCTGGATTTATTTTTCTCATTTTGTCTCTCATAGTTGAGGTATACCTAGGATGAAAATTACAGGCCTCTCTCATCTTTTTAAGTGGGAGAACTTGCACAATTGGTGGCTGAATAAATACTTTTTTGCCCCACTGTATATGATATAGATTAAAGCATATACGGACTTAACTCTTATTGTGGAGTGGTAAATTCCAAGGATCACCTCATTTTTCGGGGTGTGATTTTGTACATAGAATTCCTTTTTAAGTAATGAAATTATGCTATATATTTAAGACTTGTCATGCACGTCCATTGTCTTTAAACAACTGCACATCAAATAAAAACGTATCAACCTGAAATGTGTCTAATGACTTGGCTAATTTTCCAGTTGATGAACTTAGAATATGAGATTTCTACACTTTGGTTCACTAACAGAATGCATCTTAAAGCTTGGTTGGATAACATTGGAGAAACCTCCTTTTTTTTTTTAAACCATTCACCTCAAAACCCAGCCCAGCTCTTTTCCAGTGAAGACGTTTGTATTTGTATTGGACCTTAAATGTATGTAAAATCAATTGGTTCACAAACCAAAATAAAAACACAGGAC